CATGTATTAAATGTCTTTCTACTTAAAAAAAAAAAAAAAATAGCTGCAACAATGGGAAGAAAATAATCAAAGAAGCACAGCCTTTTAATTATTTGCTGATAGCATTTAACATTACCTACTTGCAGAAAACAGATATTGCCTCGGCTGGCTAACCACCCCAAACAATGAGGATTTCTGTTTTGGGTTTTGTTTCCTAATGTTTCCTCCCATCCGAAGATATTAAGACACCTTCCCTATAAAGATCAGTTGCTGGTGGCCTGCTGAGAGACTCATATATTCAAATGATAGGAAATATCCAGAAAAATACAAAGAGTACGAAGTCTTATTTGAAGCAGGAAAAATAGAAACTGATTTAAGAATGACAGAAGTGCTGCCAGTTGAATAATGTATGAACTTTTCACTATCTTTAGTGTTTTTTATTTCTTTTTTAAGTGTTTTTTATTTCTTTTGAGTATATTAGTTGCTATTATCATTATTTAAATATTTTCATTTCAGATAATAAATTTCCCTTAAGAAAAAGTTTTTGAATACTTTAGTGTGATTTGTAAAAATCACGCCTAATATCAATTTTTCATAACTAATTTTATTATGAAAGTAATGAAAAAATATAGTTCACATAAGCAAAATATTTTTTTTTGCACATTTTGGAGAAACATGATTTAACTAATGGAAAATATTTTTAATTTAAAATACTAAGATGTAGTATTTTATATATTTATATTATATAGATAATGTAGATCATCCATGTTTGTCTTCCTGACTAAAAGGCAAATTTTAGATATAATATAGAAATTTTTTAATTATATAGGAATTAGCAACCAAATTGTGAACTATTCTGACTTTTTAAATTAGAAATATTCATTTTTAATCCTCATAATAATGAGACTTAAAACTTAATGAATAAATTAGATTTATTCATTTATATTTTTGTAATACAATCTCATCTACAGTACTTTAAATTAGTACATTCTTATTCACAATGAATTAAAACTAAACATAATGATACTAAGATGTAGACAAGATTGCCTTGTTTTACAAATGAGAATGCAAGTTTGACAAAATTAAATAAATCCTCCATAATAATATAGTTGGTAAGTGATGGCAACAACAGGATTTGAACTTAGATCAATCTAGTACAAAGCCTATGCTCTGATAGATTAAAACCGAGGCAAACAGCCAGTGGCTGAGTGAGGGGAGGGGATGTCAATGGACATGGTCTACTAGACCAAGACAGAGAGGGGTCCAACAATAGTCCAACAACATTAAAGAATCTGTGTATGCCCATCAACCGTCAGGTAAGGTGTCAGCTTTCATTCTGTCCCTCACTGTAGCGGAGTATTCTGTAGTGAGTGGTACTCTCTTGGCCTCAATTTTCTATTCTCTTAAAAGAGTATAACAAAAGGATAGGATGAGAGATGTGCAGCACTTAGAACAATGCTTACTTAGCCCAGAGTATGGGCTAAATGGATGTCAGCTAGTTCACAAATCTTTTTTTAAGGGCCTGGTAAGTATAAGGCATCAGGATTTTTTTATTTGATTTTATTTATTTATTTGAAAGAGAGAGAGAGAGTGCACAGAGGGAGAATGAGAGGGAGAAGCAGATCCCTGCTGAGCAGGGAGCCTGATGCAGGGCTTGATCCAGGACCTTGAGGTCATGACCTGAGCAGAAGGCAGATGCTTAACCAACTGAGCCACCCAGGTGCCCACAGGAAACAAGACTGTAATAAGGAGGCACGTTGGGAACACTAACAATGAAAGTGGTTTGAATCTTCATGTCTTTGAGGGCAACAAGCATTCAAACAGGAGTTCATGTGCAACATATCCTCTGTGCTTTAGAAGAACATATGCCAAGAGGATTTCTGTTGCCAGCAGGGCTCCAGCTCCTTGGATGGAGATTTCGATAATTATGCCCTATTATTTGGGGTAGTGTTGGCTGGGAGAGATGGACAGAACAAGAAGAGTTGATATTAGGATATCAGGCAAAAAAAAAAAAAAAAAAAAAAAAAAAAACAAAGATGGAGATCCTGTGGAGAAATGGGATCTTGAGAAGTAGGTAGAAGCCTGGCATCAGAACCAGGTCAAAGTCAGGATCATGCAGCAGCAAGGAGCTTAGATGGGAAGTCCCAGCATCCATGACCAGGTAGAGCCATAAGGAGACAGCTGCAGCACCTGAGAACCCAGCAGGGCATGAGATCTTGCCCCATGGAAGATCCTGTGGTTTTCTGAGACTCAGACTCTGTGGCTTAGCCCAATTAATCTCTCAAACTGGGTCATCGTCCTAGGTTGCACAGCAAGCATGAGTGTGGCAGCCAAGGCCCTGTGACCACTGGCATCGATGAGAAAAAGCACTGGAAAGAATCTGGTTTCTTTCAAGTCCTGAGAACAATCAGATCCCCTCCTGGGCATTGCTTTAAAATCTGTTACCACCATTAGGTAACTTTACGAAGCAGAGCAATTAAAGAAGTAGTTAGAGGTGTCTCAGCCATTCACTAGAAAGCCAGGGAGATGGTCATCAGAAGAGCCATCACACCTGCTCCTGCTGCTCAGTCACTAGCTGTGTGGTCAGTGAGCCCAGGCGGGCCATGACTGTTAAGGAATGCATGTTTCAGGACTTATAGAAACTTGTTCTGGATTTGTTTATGTCTAGGAAAGACAGCAAGACCCCCATGGCACCAGTCACACCCACACCCATCCCCACCTGCCTCTTTAGGGGCATATATAAGATTGCCTTTGAGTTTGGATGGCCATAGGAAGTCATGCGACCTCCACCAACCATTTACTTCCATCCCCTGTAGTGAAAGAATGGAAGCTCTTCAATCCCAGCACATGTGCGGGCTTGGCCATTAACAAAGGGTGAAGGAGCACTCCAGAGTTGTTTCCTTCTAGGACCCAGGATATGGATTGATAGGGCTCCTTAGCACTTTGGTTTTTGCCAAGAAGTTGAGAACATTTTTAGAAACCTCTGCTCTTTCCTTTAAAAATAATTATTAACTCTTTCAGGTCATAAAAATACCCCTTGAAAAAGCAGGTAATGCGGAAATGCATCCTAGCAATTTGAATGGGTTTAACCTTCGCCAAAACACAAACAAAACAGGAACAGATGGTTGGATCAGACTCCATGGGTTGTTAATCCTCACATTTGCTCTCTGATATGACTTTGTGGCGTATACCAGCATCCCCATGTTACTTCCAAAGAAATGAAGCGTGGAGAGATTAAATAGCGTGATAAATATCACATGATATTTAGATCAGCAGAGTAGCCAGGAAAAAAAGCTCATGTTACAGACTCTCCGTCTAATATTCACTGCCCTCTTGCAACGTTCAGGCACATCCAACCTCCCTGCTCTGCCACTCCATTCTCTTGATTCACCAGAGCAACTGGCTTCCTTCCCTGAGCCAAATGTCCATCTCTCTGATGTAGGTCACCCCAGATAATTAATTAGTTTGAACGTATGTGATCGAGTTGTCAATTCCCCTCTCAACCTGCCCTCCTTAGTACCACAGGATTTCATAATTATGAGTGACACCATATATTCTTCATGTATCATCTCCCTACCCTGATTTTGAGGTTCCTTATTCATTGCCTATTTTTATGCTTTTTCTGTAAATTAATATGTCTACAAATAATATGTACTACTTTTAGATATCTTCAACTTCATATAAATTGGAGACAGTTTTTATATGTTTTATATGATTTGAAAATTTTATGTTTGCATGATTTGAATGCTATATAGTTCACATGATTGGAACATTATCCTTATATAACTTTATTATTATACGTTTACATGTACATGTCACACATATATAATTTATGTTTTTAAAATACGATTAATCCCCCCAAATAAAATATACATAACCCTAGTTCATTCATTTTAACTACTGTGTAGTATTCCAATGTATGAAAAATATATTTATCTGTTTTATAGCTGGACGTTAAAGTTGTTTAAGTAAATTTCTCCAGTCATTGGTCTAGAAGATGACTTGCTATGTCATTGGATATGCACATTTCAACTTTACTATATTTTGCCAATTTTTCTCCAAAGTAGTTCTATCATTTTATATTCCAAACCCCAGTATGTGAGAGTACCCTTTCCCTACATTCTTGGTAACAATTGTTCTTACCAGACCCCTAAGTTTTGCCACACAGATGAATTCAAAATAGTCCTCATTTTATCTTTAATTTGCTGGTTCTTGGTTATTAGTGTGGTTGAATTTATTTTCAGTGTTTATTGACCATTTGGATCCCCCCTTCCATGCATTGCTTGTATCTTCATCCATTTTTCTATTGGATTATGTGCTGTTTTCTTCTCAATTTTAGAGGATTTATTTACATATTCAGGTACTAACCATTTTTCAGTCATATACATAAATGTAGTCCATTCTTAATAGCTGATGGTTATCTTCAGAGTTCACCTTGCACAAAACTTTTAATAAGCAAGTTGAAACTAAGATATAGATAAGAAAGTTGCTATTTCCATGAGTCTGTGGGTTCAGGAAGAGCATCACGAGGGCCACTTTTTCATCATTTCCTTATTTGTTTCCTTCAGGTTCAGAGAGTTCAGTATAGGCCACTTAGTTTTGTGCCTACAATATCTGTGTTTGATTGCAGAGTGGGTAGTTTAGAATAATTTCAGTCTGAATAAGGACCAATTTTGAGAGTGATTAACCTCAGAGTATTAGATCTAAAGATTACATGTCTTCCACTGAAATAGAAAACATTAGACACCTAATTCATCTCTGGCCACAACTCCTCAGAAGAGCACACAAAATCAGCCCCGGGCAGAGTCATGAGGCATGAAGGAACAATTTATCCCAACTTACCTCCTAAACATTTACTACCAGGAAATTCTCTGCTCGTGACACAAATCCCTTGACTTAATTAACCAAGCAAAACATGAAAAGTAGAGTGAAGTTATGGCGATGTCCAGTTATGAAGACACGTTGCCTTGGGAACACTGATATAAGATCTTAAAATAATTATGGCTTTCCTTCTCTTTCAGAGGTGTGGCGAAATCTTGTTTGAAAACCCTGATCAGAATGTCAAATGTGTTTGCATGCTAGGTAAGAAGGCTTCTCATTTTTGATATATTAAGTATGTTGATGTCACGTGCACTTCCTGTTGTTCCGTAGCCTTACTGACAGTTTCTTGTTGCATATTACAGAGGCCTATGGGTTTTTTTTAATAGGTGTATAGATAGGGATAGTACATTTATATGTGGAACACTTGATGATAAAAAGGTTTAGATTTTATTAACTGTCAATAAGTCAAGAACCATGCTTCTTAGTCTGTCAGAATTACTCTTGGATCATCGGCATAACATAGAATTGGGTGACCTGTATTGAGGCAAATGTGATGAAAAATAAGAATCACACTGTTGGGGCGCCTGGGTGGCTCAGTGGGTTAAGCCTCTGCCTTTGGCTCAGGTCATGATCTCAGGGTCCTGGAATTGAGCCCCACATCGGGCTCTTTGCTTGGCAGGGAACCTGGTTCCCCTCTCTCTCTGCCTGCCTCTCTGCCTACTTGTGATCTCTATCTATCAAACAAATAAATAAGATCTTAAAAAAAAAAAAAAGAATCACACTGTAATTCCTAAACCAGAAATGGTAAGTAAACTATTAAGAATTTACATCACAGCACAAAGCTCTTACTAGACCCTGGGAGAAATATACATATGAACTAATTTAAAGTTAGCACAATTACTGGCATTGCCTTTGTAACAGAATTGCAACATTGTAATGAAAAATCCTTTGTTTTGTGGGATGATCTATCATCAACACCTTTCACAAACCTTTAAATATATAATATTCAGTTAAGAAATGAAGTTGATATGATTTTCCTCATTTTATAAGTTAGAAAGCTAGTAAAGAGAATGTAAGAGATGTACTTCACCTCCAACTGAGAAACTGTCCAAATCATAACATAAGTGTTTTTAAACTGTAAAGTTTTAGGTATAGTATTTAAGCTTATTTAAATCACTAAGCTATGTCTATTAAGCTTTTGGTTAATTATTCAAATAAAATAAAACAGTAGCTTGGATAAAGAAAAATAATCCCTAAATTTGACTCAGAAAAATCTTACCGTTGTCCATTCCAATCTTGAAAAATACTCATTAGCAAAGAACAAGAGGATTCCTTCTAGCTCTTCCATTTTCTCTGGCTAGCTCATGGGTTGGCAGCCTAGGTTATTAGTGAGTTGACTCAAAAACAGCAAGATAGAGGCATGGGATGGTCTTGGTAATGTGTAATCTAAGATAATCAGATAATAATAACCAAAGATTGCTCATGGCTTGAAAAATGACCAAAAACATAAAAACCAAAAACTAACAAAAACAGATACCATATTTCCCAACCTCTTGATCCTCCTCATTTTTTTGTACTAGTGTTTTAAACCTTTGTTACAGTTCTTATATATTTTCATTTTAGTTAAGATGGGGCTATATCCCCTGTTAAATGAGTATTTTATTGGAAATGCATAACAAGAAACATAGCATAGTATCCATACAGCCATTTCAAATATACTGTATTCCTTATGAGATAGATAGATAGATAGATAGATAGATAGATAGACAGACATTATAAGCAGAAAAAAAATTCCTTTGTCCAGCTGTTATATCCCAATGTTGGATTTGGGAAAACATTCCACCATCACGTCAAATCTATTCATCAATTAACCCATTTAATTTTTACAATAATAGGATGAAGCTGGTGCTATTATTATCTTCATTTTATAGATAATAAAATTGAAGTAAATTATCAAATAGGGTACCTTAATACTATTAAAATATTATATGATTATAGCTTCCACCTAATCTAGTAATTTCAATCAATTTTTTTAACCCATAATCATTTTAAGCACATGAGCATCCTCTATTTTGCCTGAATTCTCCTTTGTCCTGGTTTCCCTGTGAGTTACTTGTTTAATTTACAGCAAGGACAGAGACAGCAGCAGATTGTCTACTACTGCTTATAGATTTCTCTTCCCTAAAGTAAGGCCAGTCATCTTCCCATCTCTCCTAGATTATATGGCATGGTTTGTATAGCTGCCAGAACACATTCCTGGCCACGAAATGCATTCGGAGTGAATCTGCCTGATTATACAATATTCAAAAACTAGAAATATACTTTATTAACCAGTTTCATATGACTATTACTGTCATAACAATTATAATTAATTGAGCACTTAAATATATGACAGGTGGAGTCTATCCTAAACACCTACATAATTAGATTATTTATTCTAAGCAAATTAAGGCACAATATCTCTTCCAAAATATGAATAGTCTTGGTAACAGCAGTATATTATTAAGCCTGCAGATTTCATTAGGTTATTAGATTTCTATTTTCTTAGTGATGTAGAACTAAATAATAAATAGTCATTGTGAGAAAGGAAGTTTTTATTAGTTTGAGGACACAGGAAAAGTAAAGATGGAATAGGAAGAACATTCATGCATTTTACCTTTAAAATGGATGGTAGATGGTTATGTGGTGTCAAAAATAATACCATGCCTAGAAAGCTTGATATATTCATGTAGTGAAAATTGTGCCCTCAAGGAACTTACATCTAAGAAGGCTTAGACTTTTTCCTACTTATCTTTTTAAGAGGATTGTTACAAAATTTAACTGAAACATTTGCAAAGTTCTTTGAAATCTTAGATGAAGGAGAGTACAAAATGAAATTATTAAATTATTATGGGTATCAATACACATGGATAACCCACCATTAACAGGTTGTACCCCTGGTGTACCCAGGTGTTCCCGGGGGCCATCATTTCACAGCAATATGGTGCAAGATAATAAGAGAAGAAGTGAAGTCAAATGGTTTATTCCCTTAAAATAAGAGAAAATCAAGTTATGAACATGTGACTCACTGTAAATGAGAGCATATCTTATATTTCATCAAGAAAGGGCATTTATACTCACACAGCAACAAAACACCTCTTCACCATTATCTGAAGTATTTGTTGCTTCCTTTGGGAGGAAACTGTGATCATGCACTTATGACTTCCTAAAGCATTTCTTGAGAAAACTTTGTCTCTCCAACAGTAAAAGATAGACTCTGATATTTTAAGGGACTATTAAGTTTTCTAAGTGTTGCCAGTCATGAGCATCATTTGTATTTTTGCAGGTAATGTTACCACATTTTTATTAATGAATCAGAATTTCCAAACAAGAAAACCAAACCAAACATTTCCAAACCTTGATTTCCAGTCTTTATGCCACCTCAGAACTGAGATCCCTAAGGGAGGCCAACCAGAGACATCCATGGTTTTAAATCGTGAAGTTTGGGGCTCACTGTAACCCCCAAGAGTTCGGTCTTTTCCCACTTACATGCCACAGTGCTCTGGTTCCACACAGTGCAGACAGAATATGGAAGAGGGTCACTAGCCAGGGACACGGTTTGCCGTTTCTGTCTCTCCCGCTGGTGTGTCCCCAGATCATTATGAATAATACTTCGAGTGTATGTGTTAAACTGTGTAGTTCATAACTTTCAGATGTAAGCCATGCTCACCAAAGTTGTGCTTCTGACTCATTACATTCAATGAGATCTAAGTGTAAAACTCACCTTGAGTTACTCTGAAACACGAATTCAATGCAGTTTTAAGTGGGAGCAAGGACTGTCTTGTATAGGTCGTACAGAGAATCATTTCTGGGTTCAGGGTAATGGTTCGTGTTGGATATGAAGGTAAATAAAGATGTCCTGCAGGGCTGGCTACACTGAGTATTCGTTCCCTCAGAGAGGGCAAACATGGGCAATTGAGTTAAGCATCAAATTGTAACAAATGTTCCTTTCTTCTTCCCTTTATCCTTAGGACATATGTTTAAAATTTCTACCTCCCAACTCCTTCCTTTTAAAAATTTAGTCATAAGATTTCTCTTAACTGACCTCAGAAACTCATATAACTATATCAAAGGGTATATAGCAAGACCTGTGTCTTACTTAGGTATAATGAACTGATACCAAAGGAAAGAGGAAATGGAAGAGAAATTAGCTCTTATTGCACAAGTAATGTATGAAGTATGATGAATTACAAAGGATTTTACTTTTTAAATATAATGAATCAAACTGATTCACAAAAAGTCAAGCGTATTTTTAAAAATTACATAAAGTGAGCAATGTTGATTCCCTTCTTAGTCTACTTGCTGACCTCACTCTGTGAAATGATAAATTTTGGGAAAAGAAACTTTTAAAAAAGAATTCCCCAACAGACTTGATGCCTCTTATAACTGCTTCTTTCTCCTTATTCTTAGAGGGAGATTCTCTTAAATAGTAAGCCTTAATTTGCAGTCATTTGGAGAGGAAGTCTGTTTTAATTATTTTATTTGAGTACGACTGACACACAATGTTACAGTAACTTCAGATGAACAACACAATGATTCAGCTTCTCTGTACCTTATGTTGTGCTCACCACAAGTGTAGCTACCATCTGTCATCATACAACATTATTACAATATCATTGACTGTGTTCCCTAGGCTGCCTTTTATTCCTGTGAATCCATTCCATAACTGGATGCCTTTGTCTCCCACCCCCCTTCACCCATTTTGTCCATCCCTCCACCCCCTGCCTCTGGCAACCATCAGTTTATAAGTCTGATTTGGCTTTTTGTCTGTTTATTCATTTATTTTGCTTTTTTAGATTCCACATTTGAGTGAAATCATATGGTATTTGTCTTTCTCAGATTTATTTCATTTAGCGTGATACCCTTCAGGTCCAGCCATGTTGTTGCAAATGGCACAAATTTATTCTTTTTTTTTTTTTTTCCCTTTGGCTAAGTAATATTCCATTGTGTATGTATATACCACGTCTTCCTTATCCATTCCACTATGGATGAACACTTAGGTTGCTTCCATATCTTGGCTATTGTAAATAACACTACAATAAACACAGGGGTGCATATATCTCTTTGAATTATTGTTTTTGTTTTCTTTGAGTAAATACCCAGTAGTGGGATTATTGGATCATGTGGTATTTCTACTTTTAATTTTTTGAGAAAAATTCCTACTGTTTTCCAGAGTGGCTGCACCAGTTTGCATCCCCACCAATAGTACACAAGAGTTCCTT